GCCGAAATCTCAGAAGTGCGGGTGCGCCGGCGTTCGTCAACGGGTTGCTGCGCCCCGTCCAAGCCATGCTGACTACCAGGGAATGCACTTTTGACTTGCGGCGCGGCGTCGTGCACCTCAATCTCGGGCGCGCCAAGGGAGGAAAAAAGTTTGGCACGGCCGAGCATGTCGTCGTTGGCGAGCTCGAGGCAGCGGTGCTCCTTGCCAAGCTACCGCAGGACCGCCCTGCTGGCGCCCAGCTTTTCTCCCGCGGGGCGGGGGGCGGGCGGCTGCAGCCGTGCCTTCAGGGCGGCGCCGCTCGCCGTTTCGAAACCATGCGTTTGGGCGCCGTGGTCTTAGTAGAAGGGGGAAGCGGTTGATTTCTGAAGGTAAATCCCGCTGCGCCGTCGTCCCTAATGCCCGAGCCCTCGCCCTTGAACGACCGCCGTTTCTGCCAGGTTTCGGCGCGCGCGGAGGCCCCGCGCGCGCCGGCGACGCGCGGGTGGAGGGGTGCGCGCCTGAGCTGTCGCGGCGGGCGCCCCCGACTCCGGGCGGCGACTCCATTCTCTGCGCCCGAGGGGGCGCCCCCGGAGGAGAGCGAGGGCGGCGGCCTGCCGTCGCGCTGCGCGCCTCGCACTGAGAGGCCCGCCGCGACGCCGAACCTGCTCGCGCAGGTGCTCTCGCCCCCCGGGGGGGGGGGGTCGCGCGCCTGAGCAGTCGCGGCGGACGCGCCCCTCCAGGCTGCGACTCTTCTCTGCGCCCGAGGGGGTGCCCCCGACTCCGCGTCGGAGGAAAGCGAGGGCTGCTGCCTGCCGTCGCGCTGCGCGCCTCGCACTGAGAGGCCCGCCGCGACGCCGCCAAGGTGCCGCCTGCCGCGCGGCCAGCCAACAAAGAGGGGGGATCGCTGTGTTTGCACACCAATATCAAGGTCGACCTCCCCTGACATATGTTCCGGCCTCTCCCGCCCCTCGCTTTTCGTTCCCACTGCTTTCTCTCCTGCCCCCGTTTCGTATCCTTATGTGTCTTCTCCCCCATCTGAGTTCCCAGGAAAGTGCCACGATGTGTCCTCTCTCCTCATCCCTCCCTTCTCCATGATCGCTCTCGTGCTCCCTTTTCCCCGTTGGGTCCTCTTTCTCCTTCTCCCGCCTCGTCTCTCCTTCGCGCCGAGCTCCCCCGAGATATTCCTGGAGTTGCGCAAAGTTCCAAGAGCGCCCCGCGACGATCCCAGGAGGCCCCCAGGCTGCCCAGGGAAGTTACCAGCGGCGCGCAGAGGCCCAAGAAGCCGAAAAAGAGTGCTTGCGCAGGGCTTCCAAGAGGGCCAAATCAGTCCAACTCACATATTGTTTCCCAAAGTGTTTTCCGGCCTTTTCGTCTCGAGTTCCCAAGACGGGCTCGGAGGCCCGAGTGGCGCCGAGGAAAGTGACGCGGTTGCCCGAGGATGGCTCAAGCCTGTCGCGAATGCCAAGCGTCGGTGCAGTTCCAGACGCCAGCGCGTGGAATTCCAGGCCAAGGGCCCGATCTTCTGCGCGCGGCCCCGATCGCGCGCTATACGCTTGGCCCTACGGCAAGTAGAAGTCGATCGCGCGCTGAGCGCGCTTTGGTTCTAACATATGCACCATTCGCCCCCCTTCGGGGGAGAAAAAGATACGGATACGTGTTGTCCCCCTTCGTTTTCGGCCTTTCCTGGTCCTCCTGGAGAATCCTCGTTGTCATTGCTGGATTCGCTTCGAAATTCTGGTCAGAACGCACCCCAAGAGAGGTCCGGGGACAACACGTATCCGTATCTTTCCGCCCCCCAGCCCCCGCAGTTGCGGATAAGAGTGTGGGGGCGGCGGGGATGTTGACAGTCTGCGAGGTCACGAAGATGCCCGATACAACGGGCCCGCCTCAAGCTCCGATTTTTTTTCGCTAAAGCAATGTTGGTGGGCGTCGGGGTGGGTCGGAGGTGGGTCGCGGGTGATTCGCGGGTGGGTCGCGGGCGGGTCGCGGGCGGGTCGCGCCGCGTGGGTCGCAGGTGGATCGTGGGCGGGTCGCGGGGTGGGTCGCGGGGTGGGTCGCGGGTGGGTCGCGGGTGGGTCGCGGGGTGGGTCGCGGGAGGGTCGTGGGCGGGTCGAGGGTCGGTCGTGGGTGTGTCGCGGGCGGGTCGCGGGTTGGGTCGCGGGGGGGGGACTACGGCAACAAACCACAACAAACAACGCAACAAACAACAACCAGCAAACACCAACAAACAAACAACAACAACAACAACAACAACAACAACAACAACAACAACAACAACAACAACAACAACAACAACAACAACAACAACAACAACAACAACAACAACAACAACAACAACAACAACAACAACAACAACAACAACAACAACAACAACAACAACAACAACAACAACAACAACAACAACAACAACAACAACAACAACAACAACAACAACAACAACAACAACAACAACAACAACAACAACAACAACAACAACAACAACAACCACAACCACAACCACAACCACAACAACAACAACAACAACCACAACAACAACAACAACAACAACAACACTCCGCACGGATAAACCTCCATTCAGCCACGCGCCCAGGGACGTTGAAAGACCGTTCGGCCCCTTCATGATGACGTGTGCATATATGTGTGTATACATAACACGATTGTGAACATGATTTGTCTCCTATGCGTGGGTCGACGGGCAATGCCCAGCAATTTGATCAGATTGACGAAATCTTTGGAGATAATTCGATTTTGCGAGGAACCTCGCCCCATCGTAGCATCTGCCACATATCGACGACGCCTCAGGTGATCTACTCCCGCCCCCGCCCTTGTGGCCGATAATTCATATGAAGCCCGTTGCACGGTGGTCGAATTATGGTTCCCTCAAGGGTTACGCGATGATTGGCTGAGCACAGAAACCCGAGTACTGTTTTTGCTTTTCAGCATGAACCCGATACTTCTCCAAACTTGCTGGGGCTTGGTGAAGGTCCTCCCTCTTGTGTGGGGCTTTTGGGCAGTCTTGGGGCCCTCCTGGGTCATCTGCAGCCTTCTTGGGGACCCCTTCGGCCGTCTTGATCCAATCTGGAGGCCCCCTCGGCCATCGCGAGTTTCTATCGAGATGGCGCGACTACGAAAGTACAAATGGGGAAGCACAAGAGACATTACAGAAATGGCAAGAACAAATACAACGTTGAGAACTCACATATGTGCCTCTTTAGGCCGTCTTGTGGGTCCTTCTGGGCCCTCTTTGGGCTTTTTCTGGACCTCTTGGGCCGTTCTGGAGCCACCCTGCCTCTTGGGCCTTCCTGGTCTGTCGGAGACCTTTCCGGCCCATTGGATTTCTTTTTCGAACCGTGTTGGGGGGCATTGTTGGGCATTCAGAGGTTGTTGTAGTCGGGGGCGGAAAAGAGGGGGGTGATGACTAGGGGGAGGTGGATATCATGGCGTGGGCCATGATATGTCCCCAGATTTCATGGCGTGGGCCATGATCATGGCGTGGGCGTTGGGCATGCAGAGGCTGTTGTAGGTGGGTTTGGAGGCTCCGAGGGCCAGGGTTATGTCGGGCCTGTCCCCCTACAGGGGGATTTTCGACGAAAGATAAAGACTGTTCAAAAATGATCCCCCTGTAGGGGGACACGCCCGACTTAAGGCTAGAGATGTGTGCGCCGGGGACCTCGTGCTTCCCCCGCCCCCTTCCTTACACGGGATCGTGATACCCGGGGGAGTGGTAAGGGGAGTGTCGGCGGATTTCGTCGCGTGGCGTTTGGTTGAGGTGCCAGACCATTTGGAGGAAGGGAAGGACGTCGAACGCTCTGGGCTGAATGCGCATGTCGTTCTACAGCCAGCAGAGATACATGATGTCTCATGGGAAGAACTTGTGTGACGAGGGTTGGCTGGAGAGGGTTGGCCGGGAGGGTTGGCCGACTCTGAAATAAAGGTTCAGATGGGAATCTGTATAGCGAGCGTAGCGAGCGTGCCGTCGGCGTTTGGCTCAAGACACCAGCGCCTTATTTGCGCCGATTGACAGTGGACGCGGCAATCGGCGATCGAACCAAAAACAAGACCGGATCAGTCTTCTGGATGGTACACCATCTCTCAGCTATCATCCAACCTGTTACCACATTGTCCTCATCCTGCTTTTTACTTGCCGGATCCTTAGGGGTGGCCAGGAATGGTGGCCGGGCCTGTTTCGCGTGGGACATCCTCACAGTTCTGGGTCCCGCTGATGCCAGAAAGATCAGTCCCAGCGTGCCCGCTCGCTTCTGGCACGCTTTGCGTGGCTCAGAAGGGTGGGCGGGGATTGGCGGCGGGGTGGCGGCACCAATTCTTAGATGACCATCGCCAAGGCTTAGATAACCATTTCTTTCCACTACGTACAGTAATCACAAACGAAGGAGTGTTGGATAGCATCTTTGGAAAGTGCCTCATCACGAGGGTGCTGCTGGTCGGATTATTGTGGGGATTCGGCGCGAGAAGAAAGGGAGGTGGGCAGCGGTAGGAGGGAACAGGCGCAGGAGGGCGAGGGCATGGAGGGAGGGGGAGTGAGCGGAGGGGAAGGGGAAACCGAGGGGAGGGCGACGGGGTGGAGTGTTGGGGTTGGGGAGGGCGAGGAGCAGGCGCTCCTGGTGGTGCGTCTGGCCCCAACAGCCTGCCTCGTCGCTCTCCCTCCCCTCTCCGTCGCTCCCTCCCCCTCCCCCTCTCCCTCTCCCTCCCCCTCCCCCTCTCCCTCTCGCTCCCTCCCCCTCCCCCTCCCCCTCTCCCTCCCCCTCTCCCTCCCCCTCCCCCTCGTCGTCCCTCGTCGCTCTCCGTTCCTCCACCTCCACCATGGCCTCCCACCGTGGCTTCGCCCAGGTAGAACACAGCGCTGTCGCTGCTGGGGGATCCTTGGCAGCGGCTTTGGCACCGACCTCTGAGCGCCCTCTCCTCTAGGGCGAAGCCCGCCGCCATCCCCCCCCCATGCCTGCTCCGCACTAGCTCCAGCTCGCTCAGCCGCTCCCGTCGCGCACCAGCTCCTCCTTCCTCCCCTTGCCTTCTCTTCTGTTCTTCCCCCCTCCCTCCTCCTCGACATGCAGCGCTCCCAGCGTCCGACTCCCCCTTGTGTTCTTTTGGTTCTTCGGCAGGGTCGATGGTGTAACAGCTCCCACCACTTTCCCTTCTGAAGCCTCGCACTGGTAGCCTCCTCCCCCGTCCAGAGGTTCCCAGGGCTCGCAGGAGTTCCTTTTTCTTTCGCAGAGTCCTCCAGCAGGCATCTGGAGGCTCCAAGATGCTCCCAAAGGCGTACCAAACACATCGAGATCCTGGATTCGAGTCTCGATCCTCGAGGCTCTCATCGATGCTCTCTCCATCCTTCATCCTCCTCGTCGTGCTGCGTTCCCGCTGGAGTCCGACTCTCGTCCTTCCTGGCGAACCCCTCGAGCCTCTAATCCTCGAGGCTCGATTCTCTTCTTCCCCCTTCGCGTTATGCAGCGCTTCTGGCGCCCGACTCCTCCCCCTTGGCTGCCGCACCCCTCGAGCCTCGACCCTCGATCCTCAGTCCTTCTCCTCCCTCCTCCGACGCTGCAGTTTGCCGTGCCGCGGCTCCTCGTGGATCCCCTCGTGTCGCTCCGAGCCGCTCTGCGCGGCCCCTGAGGCTCCCGGAGCGGCCTCCCGAGGCCGAGAACGCCGAACGCATCTGTTGTCTCACTTCGGGGGTACTCCAGATTTCGTAATAAAAGGGAGGGGGTCTCATTTCGGGGGGGGTCTCTTCCATGCTATCTTGGAGGGCCTGGGGGGGTCTGGGGACGATGTTTTGGAGGGTTCTCCCACGGGGGGGGGTCTAAAACTTCTCGTCTGGGAGGGTTGAGACCCCCTCCCTTTTATTACGAACTCTGGAGTATCGGTCGGGGGTGGGCAGAACCCCCAACAGTGAATTGTCCGTTTTCGGGTCTCGAGATGGCGCCGCGGCCGTCATTCTCCAGGCTTGCGCCCGCCAGGTTCAGGCCCGAGGTCGTTTTTACTAGACCACGTTTTGCTAAAGGGGGTTCTGTCCATCCCCGAGTCGGAGTGGGGACGACAGGGATGGAAACGAAGGCCGACAGCAGTTCTTGTCCAGCCAGGTCACACTTCGCTGTCTGTGCCGCCGCGGTCCTTATCCATTCGCGACGGCCGCCGCCTTGCCCAACAGCAGCCGCGGTTGGTGCTGGACAGCACGCGCCCCGTTTCTTCTCCTGCTTCGCTTCGGGCGTGCAGATGCTCGGCTTGCGGCGCCCAGATCTGAGGGCCCTTCCTCCTCGTCAGGCAGCGCTCCTGGCGTCCGACTCTCCCTCTTGCTGACGAGCTCCTCGAGCCTCGAGCCTCGATCCTCGATCCTCAGTCCTCCTTCTCCTAGGGTTCTTCCTCCTCATCAGGCAGCGCTTCTGGCGTCCGACTCTCCCTCTTGCTGACGAGCTCCTCGAGCCTCGAGCCTCGATCCTCGATCCTCAGTCCTCCTCCTCCGACGTCCGGCTTAAACACCTCATTCCCCCCTTTCCTCCTTCTCCGCCTCTTCCTCCTCCTCCTCCTCCTCCGACGTCGGATTTTGTTCTGACGAAGCCCCCCGTGGGCGCCCTGCCCGGCTCCCTCGGCTGCGCTGGCCGGCGCGCCCGTGGCCGGGCGCGGGGCGCGGGGCTCGGGCATCTTTCTCGGCGAAACGGCGCCTTTTTTTTCGGAGGTGACGACAGGGGCGAATGGCTCGAACGAAGTGGGCACGGCAAGAATGGGTACATAAAACGACGCGAAGATCGGGACAAAATCGGATCGGGATAACTCGAAATCTCTGAGAATCGGCGGGTTTGGAGGATGTATTGGGCGCCGCGGCCGCTCTAGAGCGTTCCGGAACGCTCTGAGAGCGCTCCGGAACGCTCTGGAGCGATTTATCCCGAACCCAGCCCTGTTTTAACAATGCTCACAGCGGATCTTGTTCATTTTGAACAGGACTCGCTGTCCACGCCGCCGCGGCCTGTGTCCATCCGAGACAGAAGGCCGCCTGCCCAACAGCGGCCGCTGTTGGTTTGGGACAGCATTTGCTGTTGGGCATTGTACCCATTTTTTCCGTACCCATTTCGGGCGTCCAAAGGGGCGAATAGCTCAGGGGCGGGCAGTACACGCATTCGCCCAGGAGCTTCGCCGAAGGCATGGACCATCGGCGCCCTTGGATGCACGTCTTGGTTTTCCCTGGGCTTCTCGCCCCCATCGTCGCCCCCGTTCTCTGCGGTCAGGGTTCGGCCTCCTCCTCCTCGGCCCTGTCCCTCCTCGGCCCTGTTCCCGTCTCCCTCCTGCTCTTGCTCCTCCCCCCTCCTCCCCACAGCGTCGTTTGTCTTGCGCCCCTAGCGCCCTCCCCCTCCTCCTGCTCGGTTGAAGCGCAGCAGTTTTTTCAAATGGCGTGCGAGAGTCTGGTACTCCCTCCGGCCTGCGAGCCGCAGCCCCTGGACCCAGACCGAGGGGGAACCGGACCTGCGATCGTCGCTGCCGGCCGCCTCTGCACTGCCAGGGTGGCGGGCGCGCGTCGGGCCCAGAGGCTGGAGGACGGCCTCCATGGGGCTTCGGCCGATCCCGCTGGCCACCCGCAGAGCCTCCAAAATCTACCTCTCGTGGGTCAGCTCGCCTCCAGGACGGCCAGGAGGCCTCGCCGCCGCAGCCGCGTTCCTGCGGCAAGGCTGGCGAAGCAAGCCACCTGCTCAGAGGCCCGTCGGCCCCGAGCACGTCTCGACGCACGGCTCGTTGGCCGTGCCGGCAGCTCTGGCGGAGGAACGGGCAGAACAATGATCGAGAGGAGGAGGAGGCGGAGGAGGAGGAGGAGGAGGAGGAGGGGGATGATCTGAGCCAGGTGAGCTGAATAGGCCAGCAACTGACCTGTGAGACTTTCCCACAGCGCTGCCGATGCGAATTCGGCTCCACCAAAGCCGCCCCCAGAGAGAGACGGGAGAGAGAGACCGGAGGGAGAGAGAGAGAGAGAGGATCAGGAAGGGAAGGGGAGTAGAGTTGCTACCCAACCTAGGGCATTGCGTACCAGTTCTTCGACTGGTGGCACTCAAGAAACACATCCCGCCCTTCTTCCTCCCCGCTCCCTGTTGACCCAATACCAACATCAGCCGACCCCTGCAGGCCAAACTGCAGGTTTCTTGCACGGCGTTGCCGTGGCAGGACACGGTAAGGGGAGGAAACTGCCTGCGCAATTTCCCCTGGGTGCCAACCTCGGCTGAAGCTGTAGCGGGAGGGTGGAGGGTGATGGGAATTTAGTACTGATGGTCTTATTGGCCTGACTTCGCAAGGTGCCGTCGAGAAGCGTTGAAGCATCCTCCGACCCCTTACCTCCCTAAATTCTTCCCACCGCGAAGCGCTTTTCTGACTGGCGACCTGCACAAGTATGGGATGGAGGCGAGGAGGGGGTTAATAGAGTATGAAGAGAAGAGGCACGTTGAGCAATTATGGTGCATAAGGCCGGGGAAATGAATCCCGCGGGCGCCTCATTGTTCTGCTGTGGGTTCCACCACACTGGAGGTCCTGGAAGGGGTCCTCCCGCTTCCCCTCCTACCCAAGGAATTGTGATTGCATTGCCCAACAAGCTAAACTTATGGTGCAAAGCGGGTTCTACCGCATCACTAAACATTGTTTTCTGCCCTGGACGGCCTCAGGAGAGTTGATGGTGGGGAACTCCCCTTACCCAGAGCGGTTTCTACCGCAACCGTAGCCATGGATTGGACAAACAAGCCGTGTAAACACATTGCCGTTGCCATGCGCATTTCAGTTATGTAAACCATCTATCCCATTTGCTGGGACAAATATTGAATTGTGGGATACTTTCTTGATCACAATGAATGTGTATTGATTACTTCCTCAACTTGAGTCTTATACTGCAGGTGTCTACCCAGCTTCACTGGGTACCTGCTCAATAGGAAATTGAACGAGAGCTACGCTTACGCTTTTTGGCCTTACCCGTGTGCTTATTGTGCTCTGCAGGCGTCTGCTTTGACTTGGAGTCGTGCGCTTGCTCACCTTCCTGGTCCCTGCGGCTCTCTGTTTCGGGATCTTCTTCCCTAAGAATTGCGACGTCGTTCTTCATACGGCGAAGTGCATCATGTTTCTCAGCCAATTGCCGTCGAAGGTTGGATACGATGCTCATCTTCTTTGCGCTTTTGAGCCCTGAGGATTTCTACCTCCACGGCTCACGACTGCTCATTCAGACCGCGGATGCGAAATTCCGTGAGGTCCTCCCTGCCCTCTGCAGTGCTTTTGGACCGACTCTTCGACCTCGGCTGGCCATCGATGGATTCCCTATCGGACCTTCTTCTGGATCTGCTCCGCAACTTATATGAGAGGCCTAGCTGGCCCGATTATCTGAGTGAACTTCCGACTCTGTTTCCCCGTCTCTGAGCTCTGCAGTGGTTTTGGGTCGACTCTTCGACCGCTGCCGGTTATCGGACCTGCTTCTGGATCGGCTCCGCGATTTCTGAGATTTTGTGTAAGAGGCCGGGTTGGCCCGATTATCCGAGCAAGCGTCAGAATCTTCTTCTGTATCCAAGTCCTGCAAACAACTTCGCCCGGAGTGTCCTGCACAAGCCGCTTCTGCTCCTGGACCTCGCGCGAAGGTGCCCTGGGCGGGGTAGGAAGCCTCGGACGCTCAGTCGAGAAAAGCACCACTTTGAAGACTCCCGTGATGGCCACGGAGTCCCGCATTTGCAAGTAGGATTTCGGCGAGCTCTTACTGCCCAGATCCATTCTCGGGGAGACACTGGACAAACGAAGTATTCTGGCTGCTTGTTTAGCCCGTTCTGAGCTTTATGTACCCATCGCGTTTGACTCACCATTGTAAGACATGTGCAGAGGGAACTGCTGGAAGTGGGCCACGCACGAGCCTTGGTTTTGGCTGCTCGCCGCGCGTCCCAAAAGAAGCTGACCTGGCCAGCTGCCTTGACAGATGGTTTACTTGAGCCAAAGTGGCTTGAATCAACATGGCCTGCAGGAGATGGAGGAGGAGGAGGAGGAGCAGGAGGAGGAGGAGGAGCAGGAGGAGAGGAGGAATAGGAGGAGGAGGAGGAGGAGGAGGAGGAGGAGGAGGAGGAGGAGGATGAGGTGGAACGAGGGGGAGGTGGAGGAGGAGCGATGGGGGAAGATGAAAGCACGGCGAGCAGACGCCAACATGCAGGGACAGAGGGGAGAGGCACATGCAACAGCAGGCAAGTGCGCACGTTTGGGGCGGGCGGGGGGCGTGAGTGGGCAAAGGGCGTCGGCGGCAGTCGGGAGGTCGTCGTGGGTCGTGGGTAAGGGGGGGTCGTCGGGGTCGTCGTGGGTCTGGGGGTCTGAGAGCCGTCGCAGCAGGGCTCGCCGCGCGTCAGGCGGGGCGGGCGGGGTTGTCGGCGGGGGCGTGGGCGAGGGCGGGGGGACGGGGGCGTCGGGGGCAGCACGGCGGCCGTTCACGCGGCGTTTGCCGCGTTCGCCGCCGTCGCCGCGGCGAGTCAGGCCGCGGGCGCCCTCTCGGGGGCCTGCAACCGGCGGAGCACGGCCCGCACATTCCTTGTGCAGGAGTAGCGAGAGTCGCTGGGCGTGGTCCGCCGCCACGAGGGCGGGGTCTTCACCCATGGCGCCAGCCACGCGCTTCGCCAGGACGGCGAGCGCGCGGTGTGCCTCTTTGCCCTAGTCGCCGGTGTGCACCTCCATCACCATGGGGATGGAGGTTACGCTGAAAGCGCTGCAACTGCGCTCCGTTTCGAGGAACTGGCGTTTCTGCTCCTCGTAGCGCTTGGCGGCGGCGCCCGGCGCGGCTGCCGAGGCTGCAAGGAGGTCGCCCTGCAGCCCGGAGGTGACCGCAAAGTCGAGGGCAGCCGTGACGCCGTTGCGCAAACGGGGGATGTACACGTCCGCGCTGGGCGCTGGCCGCTCTCGTCAAGCTCTGTGCTGTTGGCCTTCGATGGCGGGCGATCCCTCGCTCGCGCGGCTGCAACGAGCCCGGCGCCCGGGAAGTTGGATGCCTGCGCAGCGGAGAAGGCCTCGTCGCGGAACGCGTGGTGCCGCTTCACGTGGTCTCCACGGCAGGGACGCGCCAGCGCGCGGTCTCCGTAGACATCGACGACGCCATCGCAGACATCGCCGAGGACGCTATCGCAGGAGGGCGATTTGTATCAGGCCTCGCGGGAAGGCCGTGCCGACCTCGGCGCAGGGCCGCGCCGGCAGCCAGCCGCAGGCGCCCTCCGTGCTCACCAGCGAGAGGTGGGCCCTGGTGGCGAGGCTGGCGCGCTCTTAGAGTTCGGTCGTGTCCAGTTCGTCAGAGAGGCCCCGCTGGTCGCTGCGCTGGCTGGCGCCGAACTCAATCCTGTCCGCCTGCTGGGGCTGAGCGTTTAGGGAGATCGTGGCCGCGCCCAGAGCGCCGCCTGCGCTTGTGTCGTCGTCGGAGTAGCCCGCCCAGAGATGCCGGCAAAACGCAGAGGAGGCCGCGCGGGAAGCCAGGTCGGCGGCGGGTGCGTGCCGCTCCGCTGGGTGCAGCCCGACGCCACCTGCCTTGAGGACGAGCTGTGCCTGCGCCCAGGAGTCGTCCGTGGGGGCGCTGCTACTGAGTTGCTCGAGGTTGGCGCGCGCTGCGGTGTCGAGGGTAACCAGCGCTTCCGCGTGCTTCCGCGTGCACCGTGGGCGGCGCCACCCGCGCCGAGTAGCTGAGTCTGCAGAAGCCAGCGCATTGTCGTAGCAAGCTGGGCGCAACCTGGGCGTTCTCGAGTTCGCCGAGTGCTTCGAGGAGCTCGGTGGCCTTGTCGACTCGCTGCCAGGTGTGCTCGCGGCAGGGTGCGTCGTTGCCTACTGGCGCGCGGAGGAGTTCGAATCAGCCGTCCGCGCGCAGGCGGAAGCCTGAGGGGGAGGCCTGCAGGTCCACGTCGCCGTCGTCGCCACTAGCGGGGATCACGCTTCCCGGGCCCCGTGCTCAGGCGGAGTCCCACGGCCGCCAGCTCTCCTGCCAGCAGGTGGAGGAGGCGCGCCGCGGCGCGCCAGTCGCCCGCCAGGGTGCCGTTGTCGAGGAAGAGAAAGGTCAGGTCCAGGGCGCCCGCGGCCGCGGGGGCGGGCTGGTGGATGGGCCCCCTCAGCAGCGCGCTGCAACGCCAAGGAGAAGAGCAGCGGCCCCAGGGGGCTCTTTGCTGCGCGTCGCATTCCGAGCGGATCGAGCGTCGGCCGAGCCAGAGCGGGGAGGGGGCCCAGTAGCGCCACGAAACCCAGGGGCGCAAGGGCGGGCAGTCGCGCGCGGCTTGCAGGATTGGCGGTCGAGGGTTTTGAAGGCGTTGCTCAGGTCGAGCTTGACGAACACCTTCTGCTCGCTGTCAGCGTGGCGCGCGAACCGCTGCCAGGGCGCGTAAACATCAGCGTCGCAGCCGCCCGGGAGGACGGCGCCCACCTGCGATGGGGGCTAGACGGTCTCTGGCAGCGTCGGGCACCTGCCTGCTGCGGCACTTTGTCACCAAACGCCGCGCATGTTCCCCTGCGGCCACCGGTCGGAGGCCGTCGCTCTTCTTAGGCAAGGGCCCCCAGAGAGGCGCCAGCCATGTCGTCCGCCATGCCGGGGGGGGGCATGGCCCTTCGCGAGCAGGTTGGCGAGGCCGAGCAGCTGCTGTGGCACCTCGTCGCGGTGGGCTGCCGTCTGCAGCGCGTCCGTGAGGTATTGCGGTCGCAGGCCAGAGGGGCCTTGAGCGGAACCCCAGGGAGGGCTCGCATTTCGCGCTCAAGCGAAGCGGCGTCTAGCTGAGGCGCCGTCGCCGCAGCGGGGAAGCCTGCGG